GGACCGAGGCACGTGTTGTGGGACTATAAAGGAGGTCCGTGTGCATGAAAAGAAGTATTGGCATCAATATGACCCACAAATGTCACTAGCATCTAAACGGAAGTGCATTGCATATGGTGTCTCCTAGTTGAAGTCTTACGAGAAAATTTATCCCATTCATAAGTTAGAGTTTCTAACCATTATATTTGTATTAAAATGCTTTAATATATTATTTGTTTGAAGTTAAATGGAGTATCTACATGGATCATTAAGACTATACGTATTTTCTCATTTAGAAGGAACATAATGTCACAAATTGGTTTCCTAAAGGAAAAAAAATGTGCAAGTAATAATAAAAGAATTAAAAATAATTATTTTTTTTCCATAAATAAGGATGCAACACTTAGAACTGAAAGAAAATTAGACAACCGAAGAAAACTAAAATGAAAATTTGAAAACAACTGGTCGACTCTTAAAGAAAATATAATAACTTAAATGAAACTGAATAATACCAAAAGTAAATCTGAACATGAAAAGTCTATTTCGATGGAAACGGTCCGGTAAATGTTTGCTTGAAAATTGTTATATAAAAATATCAACTAGCGAGATTGAAATTCAAACTCAGTAAATAACAAATATTTATTAAAACATTAACATCAAGGAAAATAAGGCATACAATATGACTAATAAAGAGAGACGATTTATTATATGTATAAAATAATTCACAAGGCTACCACATGCTTATGATCCTGAATATGAGTGACTTGAACACATGCACATTTATGTAGATATTTACATACTATAATATCATATATTTTTGCACAGATATGACTCATCAATCATTTACACTATTGATAATATATAATTTAAGTATATACACATAATTATATTTATATCTAGTAAGTTTACTAGGGCACCCTGAAATAAGAAAATGTAAACACCAGTCCTATGAAAATCAATTAATTTCTATGAAGAACACATCACTCCGGCTAGTCATAACAAAGTAATTTAATAACGACAGAATAATATTATAATTATATATATATATTTCATGCATCACAATTAAATCACGAGAATTAACTAACAACTATTCATTGTATTGTAAATAATTTTGAAAACTGAAACAATGAGATTTATCACATCAGACTATGAAAGAATTAATAAGTAATAAGATGATGAAATGCAAAAAATTAAATGCATGACTAAGTAACTAACAAGGTTAATTACACATTAAAATTATTATGTACAAAAAAAGAAATTGCTGCAATTATATGAATAAAGTTCCTAGGGGAAAGAATGACAAGCCTACAATTAGATATGAACCTAATGCAATTAGCAAGGACAACACTCATTACTATAAATGATATGTTTTTCTCTTAATAAAATCCAACTACTTACCTTGAGACAACAAACATGATTTGGTTCTTACACTTAAATTGAAATAGAGAATATGGTTGTTGTTGATCAATGATTATGATCTCAACCTTATATATTGGTTTAACTAAGGTAATGTGGTGGATGACACCTTGATTGGGAAGTTAAACAATGCATCATTTTATATGATTAAATTTAAAAAGGTTTCAATTCGAGAGATAAAGCGATTGGAACTCAATGTAAGATAATTTATGTGAATGCAAGAATTTTTTTACAGATAATTATTCATACTTTATTTTTTTATAAGAGATGGTTAAGGAGACACAAAAATTAGATGATGAGTGTACAAGTTAATTAATCATACTCAACTTGGAAGGAAAACTAAGTTATAATATTGTAAAAGACAACTTTAGTTTCATGCTTGTTATTTAAGAAGAGAGATGTTACACGAGGCTAAATAATTTGCTATACCAACTCGGAATACCACTTGGGAAGTTACATCCAAACTGGATCTACTCGGGGAATGACGACCATTAAGGAAATCAAGCCAAACCTCAGGAAAATTTCGCACGCTTTCTTAGTAGTCATTACGGAGTATGAAGATGCTTCACCCCAACTTAAGGGAAGCATAAAGACTATACTGACTCGGAATACCATTGGGGAAGTTACATCCGAACTGAGTCTAGTCGAGGAATGAAAATTATTGAGGAAATTACGCACCTCAGGAAAATATTATCCACTCCCCAACCTAAGGGAAGTTGAAAGACTATATCAACCCAGAATACCACTGGGGAAGTTACATCCGTACTAAATCTAGTTAAAGAATGACAACTGTTGAGGAAATTACACCAAACCTCAGGAAAAATATTGCCCTCTTTCTTAGAAGTCATCACGGAGTATGAAGAGACTTCGCCCATAACATAAGGGAAGATGAAAGACTATACCGACTTGGAATATCATCAGGAAGTTACAATCGAACTTGATCTAGTCGAGAAATGACAACTGCTAAGGAAATTACGACAAACCTCAAGAAAATATTGTCCGCTTTTTTATGGGCATTACAGAGTATGAAGAGACTTCTCCCCCAGTCTAAGGGAAGTAGAAAGACTATACCAACTCGGAATACCATTGAGGAAGTTACATCTGGATTTAGTTAAGGAAGTTACACTAAACCTCAAGAAAATATCTTTGTCACATGTTGACCTCACTTTTGATGAGGTCTAGTCTTCTTCTCTTAGGAGCCTAGGAACTAGCCACTAAACTTTCCTGTTGAATATCCTAGAGTGATGTAACTCACCTCTCTTAGAAGTTTAAAACCACTTCTTTGCTCTCTTTGGAGTTTCACATGTATGATTTTAACTTCTAGTACTTAAAATGTTGGAACCAACACGAGGAAGCTCAAAAAGAGTTCCTATAGGACTTACAAGCCTTAAGATAGCCTTGGATTTAACCTAGTTACCCTTTGAGTTTAAGTTTGATAGATTCAATAATGTCATTCGAGTTTAAGGGCATATTTTGGTTAATATGATTCTATTTAAAAAAGTACATTATCCATATAAATAATTACATAAGGCACCATAATTTCACAAAAGACACGTAGAGTTAAAATAAATTCACAAAAGACACCATAATTTTTATGTGAAAAAATGCAATAGTTATAGGTTTTGGCATTGATAAAATAATTTATATCTAAATAAACAGAGGTATTTACATACATACGACATAATTCATATTAAAAATTTAAGAATATTGTTATTTAAATACTTCACGTATAGAGACATTAAATAGACTATATATCAAAGATATGTCCACATCAAAGCAAAATATTTCATTTTATTTTTTGTTCAACATCAAGGCTTTCATATATTTACATGCCTAACATCTAAATTTTGATATTTAAGTTTATGACACACAAATCTTTAGCATCTTTCCATGCATGTTTATAAAGATTAGTGTTATAAATGTAAATATCAAACTTTAGGTGTTAGATATATAAATACAAATGATGAGTGCGGTATGTATGTAAATTTCTCAAATAAACAATGAAAATTTTATTATTCCTATAAAACTGAGAAAAAAAAAATGAATATAGAGCATTATCAAGGTCTCCTATAGTTGTTTTAGAGAACAGTGTAGGAGTAGTTATGGATGACAAAGATGGTCAAAAGATGAATGAAGGTAAGTAGATGTTTATGTGACAAACCTTGAAGTATATGCCATTCATTAGGCATTTAAGTGGCATGATAACATCAATATTAAGCGGTTTAGACTGGTTGATTCCTCATATTGATATAACACAAATTTTTGTTTTAAACACGTAAGTTTTAGAGATCAATTTGCCCATCAATCTGGAAAAAATATTACATCAGTACTACGCACGTAGAGGAACGTGCGTACCCAATGAAATCACGCCACGATATCCCGCGCGACGCGGAAAAAAAACGGCGCAGTAACACGGGGAATATTCCTCCCCGTGTTATTCATGTGTTATTGTGTGTTATTGTGTGTTATTCATGTGTTATTGTTTCCTGGGAATATTCCTGGTGTTATAATAACACAATAACACATGAATAACACATGAATAACACACAATAACACATGAATAACGCACAATAACACATGAATAACACATGAGAGAATATTCCCCGTGTTACTGCGCCGTTTTTTTTGCTCTACCGCACGAGATGTCGTGGCGTGTTTTGATTGGCTACGCACGTTATTTTTATGTGCGTAGTACTGATGTAATATTTTGTGACATAATATTTTCAAATTTATTTCAAATATTTGATTCAAGCTCAATTACACTTTCATCAAAGTACTTTTAATGTCTCTAGATTCACGTTTTAAAAATGTTGGTTTCAACTATAAATCTGTTGAAATACAAGTTAGCTAGTTTTTATATTATTTTTTTTCTTATAAAAGAATTTTTGCTCGTATTAAATATTTTTATAATTTGAATAAATAATTTTAAAATTTTTAATATATTATTTTGAGAAAATATGAGCTAAAAAAAAAAATCAAACTCAATATCACAAAAAAATATTACATCAGTACTACACATGTAGAAATAACATGCATAACCAATAAAATCACGCCATGACACCCCGCGCGACATGAATAAAAAACGGTGCAGTAACACGAAGAATATTTCCCCCTGTGTTATTCATGTGTTATTGCGTGTTATTCACGTGTTATTGTGTGTTATTCATGTGTTATTGATGTGTTATTGTGTTATTATAACACCAAGAATATTCTCAGGACACAATAACACATGAATAACAAAAGAATATTCCTGACAAAGAAAAAAGCGTCGCAGTAACATGAGAAATATTCCCCCCGTGTTGTTCATGTGTTATTGTGTGTTATTCATGTGTTATTGATCTGTTATTGTGTTATTATAACACCAGAAATATTCCATAACACAATAACACATGAATAACACACAATAACACATGAATACCACATGGGGGAATATTCCCCATATTACTGCGTCTTTTTTTTTTCTCTGTCGTGCAAGGAGTCTTGGCATGTGATGTTTTTTCATCACAAAAATGAGAAATTAATTACACCCTGAGCTATTTTTTATATATTTTAGCACACATACTCTCCTTGAAAACCAAGACCTTTGTGAGATAGAACCAGAGTGAGTGGCGTGCGGACGGAGGAAAGGTTTCGGGACCCAGAAGCTCTGCAGCGCGCGCATTCCTTATGCAATACACGCAGCCTGCTTTCTATTTCTTGATCATCGTACCCATCGTAGTCACGAGTCGGATTTCTGGCGTATGGAGGAATGCGTCTCGAAGCGTCCCACCCAGTGGCAAGCGAGAAATTGATCAACCAAAGATAGATTTCTGATTCTTCTTTCTTCCACCTTTACCGAGGTAATGGCTGCGGTTTCCATTCTTGATTGATTCCGGCATTTCAAATTTTTTTATTTCCTGCTTTTGACCGAGTTATTTTGTTGGCATATTTAATTTGTTCCTTTGCTATAGTTGCTGCAGTCTTGCTATCAAATGGTCTTTGGAAGTTAGGTTTTTAAACAATTTTATATTTTCTTTGTATTAGATAAAACCCGTTATTTGTTTTGACCTTCATCATTGTATTTATCTTAGGATTGAAGAGGCAGTGGTGGTAATGCATGACATGGTTAACTTATGATATGGGTCTGAAAAGTATATTGGTGAATTTCTAGAACGAGTTGTTACAATAGATGAGTGTGATTTATCTTGATTCCTCGGACATATTATGGGGAAAAAAAGTGTATTTTATTATACTTATTTACTGGAAATTAAATAGAAAGGAAATATATCCATGGACAATAGGTAATTCTATAGTTTATAGAATGCTGTAAAAGTTAATAATAGAAATGAAGTAGGATATTGTGATTGCTATTAGTGTATATAGTCCTTAGGTTATATTAGATGTTAGTTTGAAATATCAATTTTGGGAAAAGATGATCATTGATGAGCTATTAAAACTTATACACGAGGAAGAGTATAATTGTGAAGGGTTTGGGGCTGATTTAAATAGCGAACATAACATAAATAGCCTGTTATCTTAGGAGAATGGGGTACTATAGAATCCAAATTCATATTCTATCGATTTTGCATGATTAACTACAAGACAAAGATAGAAGATTTTCTAGCATGAGTCATGTCTGCGTAGAATGGACAAAAAACTGCATATTGATGTTCTATATGTAATTTAGGATAAATTTAAGAGGGAAATTTGAATTCAGCTGCTATGGCCTATGTTTTAATTAACATAGCTAAATAGGAAGCATATCCATCCAAGGTAAATACATGCTAAGAAGTTTTGAAGAGTTCAATACTTGGTAGGGCATTTAACTATTCCAATACGGTATATTTTTTAAAGGCTGGCAGACAGGACCAGAAGGAAACTTAGGCAGGTTAATAGATTTTTTAATTAATTAAAGATTGAGTTTGGCAAGTCCCAACAACTATAATGCTTAGCTAAAAACATTTGGTCAAATATATTTTGAATGATATCAAATTATGTTAGGATGGACACACAAACTATTCAATTTAAATTTGATCTTTGTGTCGTAATGTGAATCTGCAACATGAACTTTGAAGTAGTGTACCGTCTCAAAGTAAGAAGACATATGAAGTCCATATTGAGTGACATCAACTTATGAAACTTTAAGGTGTGTTTTCTTTTTATTTATTTTAAGAAAATTGTTATCTTGTAAAACCTAACGTGCTTTCATGAAATGCCTAAAAGGATAAAGGGATGAAATACCCATACATATTTCACCATTTCAATTGCCATGCTTGTGCGATAATAATCTTGATGTAGTAATATGTGAACTTCGTTTCTTCCTACTTCTTTGAAACTTGCATATTACATTTCATTTTAAAAGCAACAAAACAATGAAAGTGGACACTACTTGTTCATCTCTTGTCACTTTAGCATGCAATAGTAAACTTCAGCAAATAGCCTGGGGGTTGATGATAATAAGATAATTTAAAAACTTGTGAGACAACCCAAGGCATGCATGGTCCTTCTTCTCCTCTTTATATATAACATGTTGGTAATAATTATTATTCCAACTACACATGAAGTGTATTTTCTCATCAAAGTCAACTGGGTTTACAACGATGTAGTTTGTGATAGGATTGGCTATGAGAGGGCTTATGTTTAATATAGAGTATGAGATAGAAATGCAATAGTAGAAGCTTTAATTGATTTCATAGAAGCGTAAGATGTCTAATAAGCGAACACATTCTCTATGAAGCATGAAAAATTAATTACTTGTAAAGCAGAGCCATAAAATCATTAATAGGTTTATTTTTTACTTTTAAATATTTTTTTTAATATAATAAGGTACTTCTATGAGAAAGTTTATTTTTTTAACATTAAATTGTAGTTATAGATGTATATCTTCGGTGTATAAAGAAATTTATCAAAAGATATAATCCTCCAAGGATAAGCTTGTGGAACTTGTTAATCTTTCAAGGTACGTTGCCCAGAGAGGTGAATTGAAATTCTATGATTGGTGAATTGATGTGGTGTGCGATGACTATTCGTGGAGTAAGGAGGCCCACAAAAGTTATTTAAAAAAAGTAAATGTATTTTTAAAGGTGGCAAAATATGAAGACAATTGATGCTTGTAATCTAGAGAGGTAGACCAAGTTAATATGGAATGAGGTTGTGCTTGTTTAGAATAGTTCTATTACTCCATTAGCATCATTAGCCTTAACCTTATAAGACAAGAAAAAAACAAGTTTAATCACCAAAGTATAGTAGCATTAGTTCTATTATACCATTAGCATGTTGATACCAAAACTAATTCAAACCAGTGGGACGGAAGCAAATCTTATCAATCAACTGAATTAGGGTTGCAAAAACGACACAAACTTAAAAGTAAATACGACAAAAGTGAAGATTCAATGGCGGTGGTGGTGTCAGCGAGCTGATTGGGGAGTAATAGTGGTAAGGGTGGCAATGTGGAGTAGGCATGGGAAAGTAATGGATGGGTGGCCAATGGCTAGGATTGTGAGGGAAAAGAGGGCAGGATGGTGGGACGCAGAAGGAGGAGGAGGTGGCAGGTTGGCGGTTGAGGGAGTAGGGGAACTGGGAAGGTAGGTCGACGGCTAGGGAAGAGGTGGACAACAGGTTGGGGACGTTTTGGTGGGCTGTGAAGGCTGGAGCAGAAGGGGAGGTGCTGCTGGAAGTTAGGGAAGAAGGGAAGGAAGGAGGGAAGGAATAAGAGAGGATAAAACACTACTTCGGAGCAGGATACATTCGAAGAACCACCCGATCGCCGGATACAGGTCTAGCAGGGGAAAGAGAAGACTCACATAAAACATAATCCTAATTCTAGAAAACAATATATACATAGATTCCAAACATGAAAAATAGAAAATGAAAGGTAGGGGAATGACTGACGACATTGCAACCCTTCCTAATTATCGCTCGGTTCCCTGGGAACTTGGATCGGTTCTGCCGATCTGTTTGCAATTTGGTTCAGCCGGCTAACCTCCTCAGCTCTGCGTCAGACTCTTGCGGTTGGGGGAGTTTCGATCTCATTTGTCGAAGCTTCAGGTTCCTCTCCTACTATCTTAGAAGCACTGAAGTCCCACCTGCGACTGCACTGCCCTCCAAGGCGTCTGAGGGCCTTCCCTAACTTACAAACAAATGTTCACATCGGTCCAATCTTATGGGAGTCTCCTACTGAACTGAACTGAGTCTTAATCCATGATCGATTTAACTAGATATGAGGTGGGGGTAACCAAAATCTTCCCACATGGTGGTGGCGCTGGTGGTACAATGTCGACCGTGATATCCTAAATTACCTTCTTTCGTGCCTGTCCCTGGCGTCTCAGTCCTATCATTCTCTGTCGCCACCAAAATTTGTCACATTGAGGTTGCTCTACTGGCAGGGGCTCTTGTGAAATCGAGCTCTGCCTAAGGAGGTAGGATAATGCGCTTCCTATTCTTGGTGAAGGAATACATGTTTCTGAATCCTTCGTGCTGATTCCTCCGATCAAACTGCCATGACCTTCCCAATAAATGGCAACAAACATCCATAGAAAGCACGTCGCACCACATTTGGTCTTGCAACTAACCCCCAATCGAAAACTCTACTAAGCATCTTTGGCCGATGCTGACCCGATTTTTTTCTTTAGCCACGTCAGTGAATATGGTTGAGAACGCTTCTGAGTCATGGGACCCAATTTATCAACCATTTGTGCAGACACTACGTTCTTACTGCTCTTTCCATCGATGATGAAGCTGCATACCTTCTTGCTCATGATGCATCAGGTGTAGAATATATTGCGACAAAGCCATTGCCAATCCATTGTTTCAATATTGGTCTGTAAGACTCGTTGAACTACAAGCGCTTTGCCTTCATCAAGTGGAAAATGATATTCTTTATCCTGGTCCTTAGCAATCTCTTTGTTACGAACTTCCTTCACAACACTTTTATTTGTAAGGGTGACTACTCGGCTTGTGGGGCAGTTGGAGGCTATGTGGCTGTAGTCGTGACATCTGAAACACTTCCTTGCTGGTATTTTATTCGAGGAGCTACATTTCTTTTTATTTCTTCTCACTTTGATCCAACTTGCCACTTCTTTGTTTGGGCTTGCTAGTTCCTCCTGAGGTACCTTTGTTGGTCGTGGAGCTGTAGGTGCCTGAATCCTTGGCTGAAGGCTGTTGTTGGAAGGACGATTGCTGCCTACTTTATTCCTGTTGTCTTTCCACTTTCAAGGCTAGAATATGAATATCTTTCAGTGATGAATAAAACTGCAGTTGCACCACATAACTAATGACTTGCTTTAGGCTCCTCATATAACGGGCTATGATATGTTTCTCTGGTTCAACCAAATCACACCCCATCTGCAACTGATCAAACTGCTCCGTGAACTCTATTGACAGATTGCTTTATTGCAGGTGCCGGAGCCTCATAAACATATCCTGGTGGTAATGTTGTGGGAGGTATTTCCTCTGCATCGTTTTTGTCATTTTCTCCCACCGATAATCTTATCGCTGCCTTTTTTTTTCATATGTCTTTGTAAGTTCTTCCTACGCAAAGAGGTACTTGTCTTCAACTTGATAGCAACTAATTTGACCCTCTTTTCATCTGACACATCCTCATACTCGAACATTTGTTTAATAGATCGCAACCAATCAATAAATTTTTCTGGATCTATATCTCAATCAAACTCTGACAGATACACTTTGATGCTGAAGTCTCTGTGCCCTCCAAATGATATATCTTCTATGAAATTTTCTCTATGGAAGGGATTCATATACCCCTCTTTAAACTTCTTATGATACTGGAATCCGAAACATCGTGCCTGGCTTCTTCATCATTGAAGTTCTCCTTAAGGGGTTCGGATCTTCCTATCTTTATCCCCTTCGGCTCTCTAGATCACGGTCGAGGGTATTTTTCCCCTGGGTTAACTCATCAATCTTCGCAAGCCTCTGTTGAAGGCGACAAAGCTCTCACTGTATCTCTTCCAGGTAGGCTCAAACATATATCTTCTTGGTACATGATTAGGGTTTGGGATTTGTGGAAGTGGAAATGACATTTGGTCGTATGAAAGAATTTTTTTTTGGTTTATGGGGGATGCTAGAAAACCCTAGGGTAAGATTAGGGTTAGACTAGCTCTGATATCAAATGATACCATAATTAATTCAAACCAGTGGGACAAATGCAAATCTTATTAAGTAACTTAATTAGAGTTACAGAAACGACACAAACTGAAAATGAAATACAACAACACCAATCTCTGGATAGAGCCGGAAGCGAAGATCCGATGGCGGTGGTGTCAGCGAGTTGATTGGGGAGTAGTAGTGGTAAGGGGGGAATGTGGAGTAGGCGTGGGAAAGTAATGAGTGGATGGTCGATAGCTAGGATTTTTTTTTTTGGGGGCCAACTGGACGTGGAAGGAGGAGGTGTTAGGTTGGTGCCTTAGGGAGCAGGGGAACTGGGAAGGTAGGCCGACGGCTAGGGAAGAGGCAGATAGCTGGTTGGGGAAGGTTCGGTGGTCTGTGAAGCCGGGAGGAGGGCGTGGGGGGGCG